GGGGGAGGGGCGGGAGGAAGGGCAGTCTACCCTCAACTGCTCACACAGTGGTTCTATTCCAAGCCATGCACAGGGATATCTTAAGCCAACAGTGCCACTGAACTCTTCAATTCTATCAAGTAAAATACTACATTCTCATGATTAATTCCGCAAAGAACTATTTTCATTCATTCTGAACTGTCCTCTGCATGGGCTATTTCAGGGATGAGTATCTTTTCTGCTTGAATTTCAGTCAGATTTGTTCACTGTTAACAGAGATGATGGAAAAGCTCCACAGTATAAATGGCATCATTAGATCCTTCGTCTACCAGGAGAAAGACCAACGAGGAAATAAAACATCTCTACAAGTCGTGCAGAAGATTTTCAAAGTCCATTCTCAAAAAAGCTACTCTATTCTGGTGATTTACTCAGTCAATTTATATATATACTCTTTTCCCCAATTTTAGGGAAGAAAGGCAACATGCTTCTTATTTTCTCATATATCTTTATTCCATACTTGTTACTCTTATGTAAATTATGTCCAGCTAGACCAAAAATTCCCAAGCATTATAGCTAGTTTCGAATATTAGATTTAGTAGTTAGACAAGCTAATCTTTGAACAGATCTCAAAGCTAGAAATTGGAATGAATTGTATCATTCAAGTATCCCAGTTAAGTTTTTGCATTTGTTAGTCAAGTTTTTTTGGTTTTTGTTTTTTGTTTTTTTTAACATCCATTATCACCTCTTCTATTTAATAATTTTTCCTGTCATCATTGGTACTGCTTTTGTACTGCACTTCTTAACATTTAGAAGTGACATATCATTAAGACAAGCAATACACTGAAGATGGGAGCTTGTTAACTTATTTTCCTTCTACATTTGGTCTAAATATGTAACAATAAGAAAATATGAAGGAACAAAATTGTGAGTAATGACATATTAATGTTCAGTGGCCTGAAGTTCCCTGTAACTCTACAGAACAGAACAGTATAGAAACAATCGAAAAAAGAATCTTACAAAAGTTACTGGTGCCAGCTACCATGTTATTTTGTTTACAGTTTAAATCATGCACCCTCAACATGTCTTATGATGCTATAACCTCACTCCTACAGTAACTGGATCTCAGACTTCTCACAGGAAGTAAAAAAAAAAGGCAGCTTTAACTTCTACCATAATGAACGTATCTTTTTCACAGGAGAAAGAGTTTCTTTTCCATCAATTTTAGTAACATATGAAAACACCTTTTTTCACGATTCTCTACGAATCAGGAGATAGCCATTTTTTTCCAGGGAAGACATATACCAGTAACAAGACCTGATTTGTCATTAAAAACCAGAGACTTGCACATTTTAAAACCTTCTCTCATAACAACAAAGTACTCTAACAACTCATCACACCAGATCTTACTAAAGGGACTTCTACTGTATTCACAGGTTCTGGCTGGATGCATGCTTACTTAACTTGAGCCAGTGACAGTATGCCAACTGGGCTTTATTCATAAAAGAAAAGTCAGTGATCATGCAGACCACATTTAGTACTCGATTGCTTTTCTTTGATATTCTACACCCTTTACACATCTGAGTTAGAAAGAGGACTGAAAGACAAGTCTATTCCAGAAATATATTTATATTATATTCATTCATTGACAGTGCGTTGGTGGCAACTGACTTTAGCTCACAACACACACCTTTTCATTGAGCAACACCCAGTAGCAGTTAAACCTTACATTGCTATACTGTTGGAAGAAAACTTGTAAAAATTTCTGGCTTAAGAATGGAGATAAACCTGAACATTTTTCTAAAATTTCAATGCAGTAAGGTCAAACTACTGAGGAATACTTCAGTAGTCTCATAAATACCTAACTCTTATTGAGTATGGGAGGCAGTATAATAAATTAATATAATATCTGCTAAAAAATGCCTTCCCCAATAGAAGTTTTATTTATAACGCTGAAGGCGCTGCCTTCCTGCACACACCTAAGTGCATGTCAAGAGGAAGAAAGAGTTTGTGACTGCAGTGTAATGGCTATGCAATTCACCTTGCAGCTAGTTAAACTCAGCTGGCTAAATCCTTACAAAACACTATTTTTCTTAATGTCCATTAACCCAGAGTTTATTAAAAGCTTCCTTAAAACACAAAAATTAGCAACATACCTGAAACGTTAACCATCTGACTTAACATAATGATGCATCTGGAGCAAACATTACAAGTCTTCCCAATTCTAACTCCTGTAAAAATTAATTTTTATAAAGATACGAGCAGAAAAATGAATACAAAATAAGTCCTGCCACTAGAAGTTAAACTGCTGAAAGCAGAAGTGTATAGTTTTAAGGCATAAACTTACCCAGCCAATACTCCATCAAAGGTTTCTGTAAAATACACTTCCCCAGTTGGCTTAGGAGTCTGGTACACAATCTAGAAGACACATACAGATACACCCTCTAACATAAACCTGAAATACACCATCATACCTCCAGAAGTAGTTCACCCAGAGAGATCACCAGCTTTTGTTCATTAGAAACGTCTCGCAGCATAAAACACCTTCCCGCCCTCCTGTGTACCCGCCCATCATTTTTACAGTTTGGGTGCATCTCTCCAACAGTAAGCAATTTCACATCTGTAAATTTTAAAAATTCCTGCATTCAAAGCTCATAACTTAAGTACTGTCACACATCTTGTATGTAACAAAAAACCCAGAACAAATACAGAACTTGCACCAATTCTCTGCTTCCTCTACTTTCTATACATGTTTTCCACTCTTCAGTTTTCCTGTCTACTTAGCACATTTACGGTTGGGCTACACAGTAAAAGTGGAAAAATAATTTATGAATATTGCCCACATCTATTATGAAGTACAGCATAACAAATGCAGAAAGATTTTCTGGGAATAAAGACAGTGTCAAAAGGCAGCTGTGATGAATGAAATCAAGAAACTGGTCTGAAGTCAATATCTCAGGAATACCAAGATGCTTTCTGCTTTCTTCTCTAGAAATGTCAGGTTAGGACTTATGGCAAAAGGTTCTGTATCTAGATTGAAGCACAGACTAGCAAAACTTTCTTCACGACTATCTACCACAGGCAGATCTGATTTTACACTTGGGCATAGCAGAATCATTCATTAAACTTGTCCTACATCTCACATACAGCAACTGAGAAACTCAAGACTGGTGGGTCTGACACCCCACTCAGTAGTCAACTGCGTGTTAACTCTTTTTTAAAAGCATTTGTGCACAGATTTGTCTAGTAGTTATAACCATGTATCTTATAAGTAAACAAGCTATAAATAAAGACTTCTGCAAGCTTACCCCTAAGGAAGATGTATCTCTGTCAACATCGGCTTCTTGAGACTGCTTGTCAAAATCCTCCACTTCAACATCTACATCCCGAGTTTCTTCATTTTCAGTTTCTGTGGTCACTGAGCTAATTAACAGGACACCCAAGCACAGCCAGTCCCACTGGAAGTGCATCCTGGTTTTCAGAAGAACTGAAAGTTTTAAATTTTAAATATCATTGCAAGGATATTATCAATAATGTTTCAATTTTACCCCAGACTTTATCTACAAGAGAAGTAGTGCATTAAAATAGTAAGAAATAAAGACCATAAATTATTGTCACTATAGTATTTTAATAAAGTGCTATATCTTAATTTGAAAAATTTGTTACTACACAGCCCTGGCTCAGACTCTTTTTCTCTTCCTGCTGTTCCTATGGAAGTGCTTGTGGCCTGTTCCCTTATCTTGCCAGGCCACAAATCTAGCAAGAATTTGACTGTAGTGTATAGCCATTTCCACAGGCAAGATGAAGGAACAACCATAAAGCCACAGATTAAACGCAAAAAGTAAATTTATTCTCATTACCTCACAACCTGGGAGATCTCCGCAGCAGCAGCACTTGGGCAGAGGCACACAGGCACCGTGGAGAAAAAGAAGAAAGGAAAGATCTCAAACCTGATGCTTTCACCTGTATCTATCAAGGATTTTTGCAGGTATACTTTTCCCCTGTGCTTTTATCTTTCCCAAAGCAGGGCAGAAATCTCAAGGATGTTCGATAAGGTACCTCTAAGTCTCTCACAGGCCTGTGTTACCTAACTGCGGACATCCTACCCATCAAGCACACAAGGCTAAACAACAATTAGTAGGATATATGTATTTTTCAACAACCCAGCTGCAAATCACTTCAGCATGTTTGCAGTCCTCCTAGCCAGTCTTCCATTGTATTCCCACAGTGGTTTTTTAGAACTAAGGAAGACTGCTTTCATTTTCCTCATTCCTTAACATTCTGAAGAACTAATAAAATTTAATCAGTCTCTACAGTGCAGCAAAAAGTAACATCTCTTTCATTAGGGAAGAGACAACTGATAAATTTAGGATGTATTATTATCCATTGCCAGAATTAGTCATTTGAGTGCAGAGTTTATATCAAATACTTCTTTTGACACAGATGGACAAGATTGTTTCAGAAAACATTTTCTGTTTCAAAATTACACAGTAAGCACAAAAGTTTACGCTTAAATGTAAATATCTTTCTAATTTCAGGGAAACGTGAAAATCTTTAATCTGTGTGTTAGATTGTGTCCGGTATTTTTTGCTTCACATCTGTAACATATACAAATCCAGTTTTGTATTAGAGTATGCAGCAGTTTGGGACAGTGTAGTATTCAAGCATATGCTTATGCAAGTTTACTCAATGGTCTTACCAAAACTGCTTTTGCCTGAATTTGGAAGTAGAAGCAGATTCTAGATTAACACTGCACAGGTATTTATCCTTTGGTTCTTACTAATTTCTATCCATAGTAAGTTTAAAAAGAAAGGCAAATACTGATATTTAGTTTGCTATTTTAAGACATTTTCAAACCTTGCATTACTTTTAGCCACTACTAACAATACTAAATATTCTGCTACTGAGGTGCTTTCTGCATCTGCGAAATCAGAAACCTTCTTATGTCACATCATCACTCTAGAGATTAAATTGTTTACCACTACAACCCTCAATATCCCAGCAATTCAGATACCACCTTATACTGGAACTGTGAGTCTCTCTCTTCCTGGCTTTGTCAGATTTGCTAAGCAATTCAAACATTAGAATCACAACAATAATTATTAATCATTCAGTTTATAACACCTGCAAGTTACATCAAGTAACACAGGGAGATCAAACGGTATCAGGGCTAAAAAACTCCACATCCCAGTATGACTGTACTACAAATGTCAAAAAACAAATTAAATTATTTTTTCCTTATGTCGTTTAAAATCTGTTAGTTCAATATTGACTGCACTGATTATTTTTGGAGCCAAAACCCAGAAGTATCACAAGGAAGTGTTTCACACACCAAGACAGGGAATCATCAAATGCCTCCCTTCTTGGGACAAACACCAATTTCCCACAAAATGACATTAATTATGTTACTATTCTTTTTTTCTCCCCCACTATTATCCAGAGTCCATGTCATTCCTTGCAGCATTTTTCACCCTGCTATGCATTTTGCTTGAGTCTATAGTTCCCTCCTTTCTCAGTTATTACAGTAATACACAAGTTATCTGCAAGTTTTACTAGGGGTTTTTTGGGTCGGGTTTGTGTTTTTTTGTTTGTTTTTAATTTTAGTTTAAAATGACACATATTGTTATTGTTAATTCATAGACCTCCTTGGCCAATTCTAGAACTTAAAATAGTCTTGCCCTGAAGATTTAAATTTTATCATATGTGAACATTCAATCTTTTGGTGTACTTTTGAACACCTTTGTCTGGAGGTGATCACACTTTGTACCACCCCATTTTCTTGTTTATCATTGTGTTAGGACAAACAGTTGATGAATTTCATATCAATACCTTCTGGGACTCCTTAGCTCTTTGCTAAAGTGGCATTTATTAACCGGGTATTAAACTTGCTTTTTCAGTATAAAACTTGCCTACCTTATTTCAGCTAGTTTGTCACACAGATCATCTCCCCCTCTTCTCCTAAAGCAGATGGAGATACATGTTTCTTTGTCAATACATGAAATCAGGTATTTTGCGTACGATCCAAAATGCCTTTCACTTACATAGCTGCAATTTTACTGTAATGAGCTTCATCCACTTTTGTCCCATACTCAGCCTAGCAAGAGCATCCAAGAAATCCGACTACTACTAACCTTTCCATACACCTCCCTTCCAGAACTCCTAATGCTTTCACTTCATGTCAAGTCTTATCACTAATCCCCCCATCCTAGCCTATGACATTCCTAATTTCATTCAGTCTTCAATCTCTTAATTTTGCCTCCAAGAAGGCACCCTTCTGATCTTCGATCTTATGACACACTTTTAGAATAATCCCAGAAACACTGAAATATGTTATCAAGAAGAACTACAGTTATGACTCAATTGCCAGGCAAAGATGGTTTTAAACAAGACCATTACATCTTTTACTTTTGTGAACTCTGCCAGCACTACAGTCTGAGAATGTAAAATAAATCTTTCAACTAAGCTGAAGAAGAGTTTCTGGTCTCAAAAGTAGAATTTCATACTACACGTTTAATTGTCTTTAAAACCTACTGAACTTCTCTAATTAACACATGAAGACCTCTGAAAAACTCTTCTTATTCTTTACTCAAGGTGTCCATGAAAACATTCCAAAGGATCCCCACTGTTAAAAAGTTCCTCAGCAGAGCAAATTAAGTTATTCCAGTCTGTGGCACTCACACAAACACTGAACATGTTTACAAAGCACCCTTCAGGGACCTACAGCAAATAGGTAATTGTAAAGCCATACATCTTGACAGGAGTTTCAATTAGGAATGTGATACAGTATGAGCCATGAGAGAACTGTATAACCGTTCTTCAGTTTGAAAAGCTGTATGCATAGAAGTTGAGTCACAGAAATACATCCAGTAATAATTCACCTCCAAAACGGGCTTCCCAATTGTTCCTTTTGGGATGGGCAGCTTATATTCAGCTTTCTCTAGATAAATACACAAACAATTCTGTCATATATATATATATATAACTTCAGATCTGTAATTTTAAACTTAATTTTTGCACAGCTTGATCACACTTTACCATGGGAACATAGATAACTACCACACATCTATGCGTCAGAAGAGACTTTCAAAGCATGCTCTTGGGACCAGCAACAGTGCTGCAACATCTGCGTAATATTACACCTAAAGCAACAAGCCAGTTTCTGAGATATGTACTAGTATTTAGGAAAGACAAGCATAAACTGAAAGAACATTCTGACCAAATACTAGAAAATTTTTTCCCCATGAAGGCAGGCAAGTAGCGGTACAGACCACCCAGTCTCAGTCCTTGGGGTTTTCCAAGACCAACCAGATAAAGCTCTAATCAACCTGAACCAGCCTCCGAGCTGACCCTGCCGTGAGCAGCAGGTTGGAGTAGAGTCCTTCTGGGGTCTCTTCCCACCAGAATGATTTGATCTCTGCAGGTGGTTACACAGTGCAAGCCTGTCAAACCTTAGCACCATGATCTGTTGCATATTCTACACATGCCATAAAATTAATGGCACTGTCATTCCACTTAATGCAGATCTAAACAGAGGTTACGATCTTGCAGAACTTCTCCCTGGACTCTGAAGAGGGTCATGCCTTTTTCACAAAACTCTCCAAGGTCTGTGTTCTCACACAGAAGGGAGTAAGATGCCATTAACAGCCTTTCTCGCTCAGGTCTAAGGCTTCTCCATCCGGTACCAACACAGGGGCTCTTCCTGCGGCCAAACACCAATTCCATCCAGGGCAATAGAAAGTGGGGTTTCCCCCCCACACCCCCCTTGTTCCACCCATAACCCCGTGCTGCCTTACTCCTCCCCCACAGAGCTACACCGGCATCAACCTGGCCAAAGACACAGCGAGCTCAAACTGCTCCATGAAAAGCATCCAGGAATTCTTACACAAATTCTTATTTTGTGTGAAAATTGTACTTTCCTATCTTTTGCTGAAGCGTTAAAAACACTGTACTGAAATGAATGTGTAATTTAGCCATTACTCAAGCTATTTTGTTACTAGTTAATTTGAGTGAAAGCTCGGGGAAGAGGCTATTCTCCAATTTAAAAAAAAAAAAAAAAAAAAACACACCACAACAACCAAACAAAACCACACACACACACCCCCCTGGCTTCTGGTAGAAAGAGTCCCAAGCCATACACCTCCCAGCCAAGACAAATAAAAGCTGGATTCATTTGGATGCAGGAACCTATTAACAAAGATATCATTAACAAATTTGCTTTTTAATGAGATCCCACAGGGAAGCCAAGGGATCAGGAGTTTAGGACTGTCTCTGCTTGTCATTTTTGTTATTTGAGTTATGATCTAACCAATCCTGGCAAATATTTGCCATTAGAGATTATAGTAGGTGTTCTTAAAAATCACAGTAACAGAACCAGTTCTTAGACTCACTACAATTTGAGAATTTCACTCTCACTTGATATTCTTTCAGCCTTGAAGTCTGTCCACAAAGAACAAGATTTTTAGCACCAGGTTAAGCCACGTTCTTGGC